TTACACAATGTTCTATCTGCAGAGTGCGGATTACACAATGTTCTATCTGCAAAACGGGGTTAGGCGCAGCCCTTCACCTTTGTGTGGTTTGCAAGTAACTGGAAGACATGAAGGCCAATCTGAGCACACGACAAGAATCGTAAAGGTCCAATGTTTAATTATTGACTGCAAAAACTGAAGTAGAACGAGCGGTTACGGAGTAATAAGCATTCCTTTGGGGGTGTCCCGAAACCCGCGTTTTGCAGATAGAACATTGTGTAATCCGCACTCTGCAGATAGAACATTTTGTAATCCGCACTCTGCAGATAGAACATTGTGTAATCCGCACGCTGCAGATAGAACATTGTTGTTAGGACGCGTCGAAATGCAAGTAACATTTGCGGCACTTACATTTCTCACTGACATCGTCTGCATCCTCCATTTCCTTTACTTGGTAAGGTTTACTCGACATGCTTTTTTCTACTAGTGAACAAATAATTAACGGACCCTTCTCCAGAAGAGGACTCTGCCTTTCAATGAACTTGGATTTTTTGTGACTGATATTGTGATCTTCTGACGGATTTGAATATTTTGGTATCAGAACACATTTAGACATGAGGGTTTCGTAAAAGTGTTTTGCTGCCATCTTCGGACCCTCCTCCCGCAGTATTTTTGTGCTACAGGACAGGGTATAAAAGTTAGCGATAAGAAACCTGCAGTATCATAACAAAGTTAGTCAACTACTACTCAGGAAGAATGACTTACCAGCACGTTAATGTTGGGTTTGCAATGTTGTCAGCTTTCAGTGACTTCAAAATAAGGGAGCAACTGTTCCTTGGAAGCAGAGATGTTTCATGCTCCATGACATGTTCTTCTTCAAGATTGTCAGGTCCTTTAAGAAACTGAACTGTCACTCTTTTCTTTTTTACATCCAAGCACTGCCAAAAATTATCCCAGTTGGTTTCCTTGTTCCTCAGTTCTGATGACAGCCTACCCTGCCAAGCAACACTAATCAACATTCACATTGGATACTAGCAACGACTGTACCGATTTAATTACATAAAACAGCACCTTACTCTTAATTACACGTTGTATAACTGACTCTCAAAGAAACATGGAAAGTGCAGTACCATAAATCTTACCCTGAAAACGCCATCCAACAGCGCCTTCTCACTTGTTCTCATAACCTCCATAAAAAGATTATCAAGAGTGAAAAACTTCGTTTCGACGCAAATTTCTTCTTCATGGACCTGGAAAAAGGAATCATCTAAGTTCGCAAGATCAATCTTGGGCGAACAAGAAGAGCGAACAAAAGAACAATTCGGGAAAATAAAGAAGCATTTCTTTCTATGTAACAAATGGTTGGCACCCTTGGATTGTTTTTCTGGAACGTTCTGCTTCCTGGTAGGAGGCGCCTTGGTCCACGGGTTGCACGTTGCGCGCACTCATACATTCTCCCACGTCCATCCACGGAGCTCTCATCAATAAGTCGTCGACGCAGTGGGATTTGAAAGCTAGGTAAGTGGCATTGGCGGTACAGATCTCTTGTGATACAGTGGAGATAACATTTTGGGCTTGCTCATAGCAGTCCAATTTCACTCTGTCATGTCGACTTATGGACGTGCCTCCACAGTGAGCGGGAGGGGATGCTGGGTAGGCGATGCCGTGCGGCCAGGCTGTTGCTTGCAGGCCGTGCCGTTAGGTTTACCGACTTTAATGCGGAAACAGCTTTAATTAGACCATCGTAGGCGTTGCTTCGCGCAACCGGCACGGCCTGCAAGCACAGCCTGGCCGCACGGCATCGCCTACCCAGCATCTCCTCCCGCTCATTGTGTGGGCACCTGTGAATGGTTCATTGTCCGAGCATTCAAACTTTGCAATTTTTTTTTTATTTGTATGTGTTTATATCTCGACGGTTGGAGTTACAACAGTCCTGAACAAGATAACTTAGACGTGAAATTTAACTTGTACTATTCATAACCTTTTTAACTCTCTCAGTTTAAGACATATAAACATCAAAAGTTCCTAAAAATGTCAAGTTTGCATGCCTTGTGCATAGTACATAGCATATGCATTTGTTTTGCTCCGTACGATGACGTTTCGTTTTTCTATCATGCTGTGCAGGAAATGAATCCCTCAGATGCGTTCAAGGCCACTCAGGCCCATTGGAGCCTCAACACAGCAAATGGACAGGCATCAACATCTGCTTCCGCTGGAGCAGGCGCCGCAGAAACCACTGCTGAAAACAGCAACAGTGTTTCGCTGCTTGGTATGCATTCCTGTAGGACTGAATGATTGTCTACCCTTGCCAGCTGAAAATTCACAAAGCACTGTTTGTCTTCTAGTTGGAAACGATATGAGCCGTATGGCTACTGCGATGGAGAGGATTGCAGAGGCAATGCCTACCTTAGTAGCAGATCTACAATCGATCCAGCTGGGCAATGCCGTCCCATCTGCAAGTGAAGCAACGACCGATGCAACCATTCATGCCGCTGGTACAGAAGCAACTGGTCTATCAGCAGCCAAACCTGCCTCTGAAGGAGACAAAATTGTTGGGGACCCGGACAGTGATGGTGAGTGTAATCTGATTCTTCCTTTGGCATATTGTTAACACATCACTAGTGGCTAAAGTGCTTTCCCATGTGTCACGACAACTTTGAAAGGCATTAGAAATAATTCATCACAGTGGAAATTTGTTTTATGTGAGACACTCCTTTTTCAGATGACGTGGATGCTTCAGGTAGATGTGGTGTGTGCCACGCACCATGCAACAAAGTCATGCTGGCTTTGAGCTGTGGGCACTTCCCCTACTGCATGACTTGCGTAAAAACTCTCACCAAGAGTTCCAGCACTGTAACTTATCTGTTCGAGTGTCCATACTGTAAGAAGTTTGTTAAGGATACTAAAATTCTACACTTAGAGTAATTTTTAACATACTGTTCTCTTAGCTTTTGATCAATGTAATTTTTATATTGTTGCCGACAACTTTGTTTCTACTTAAAAGTGGTTTTGCTTCACCATTGAATGTCGAGCGATACTTTCTTAGTTCTTTTAGGCCGAACAGCTAGCACTTTTAACTACTTTTCAATTTTAAGTTAAATGACTATGCGGTGATTGAGCGGTGATTCTCACATTGTATGTTGCAGCTATTCATTAATCAGTAATTTGCTTTGTATGTGAAGTTGATTCATGCAACTCATCATCATGCCTATTGAAATGTGCCCATGGTGATTGTGCCCCACATTGTAATTGTGATGTTTAATTAATGTTGTAATAAACATGCCAATTGTGTTTGATGTTCTGACGTTTTGATTCCTCCTACCTTTTCAATAGAAACGTGAGACTTCAAATAATAATGCAGCACACCTAGGAGTTGTAAACAACGACTGAGACAATTTGATTTCAACGGTTGCTTCATTTGATCCTAACTTTCAAGGACTTGGGTCCCATACATTATGAAGTAATTTAAAATTCTACGCACAATTACTATCTGAAGAAACACTTTTACTACCCAAAAGAGGAAGGCGAGCATCACTATAGAGAATAATAGTCAAAGCAAAGCATCACACGTAATTAAAAAGAAAGAAAGGGAAAGTAAAAATATTATTCTTAAAATTTCTGGTAAAAGTAACACTGAAGCAGGAGTAGGATGAGAGAATATAATAACGGAAGCCTTTACACAAAGCCTGCATGCATTATCTTGCAAATTGCTGAACTGCAACTTGTAGCCATGTACAAGATTCAAGCTGCGCATGCATAATTTCACAACAGGAACGTCCTCTAAGCGCCATGGCCCAGACCAGTCGAGGTCGTGGACCCAAACAGCCCAGAGGAGCAGGTCTTGTGGGTGATGGTGCACTGCACCTCCTCCGACGCCTCCAGCGCAGCGGGGCCGCGCACAGCCATCGGTTATGCACATAAAAATGCATGCAAAGCAATCAAACAGCAAACTATAATAATGAGACCAAGAAGTAATGGTTAGACTAGATTTTGTTAGAGGAGCGAATAACACAAACAAGAAAGATAGGTTAGTGTTTCCCTAGACTAACCACCACCACTAACCCAGATTACTTGTTACCTATGGATCGAAACTGTTAGCAGTACCTTCGTCTTGCCTATCTCTCTTAAGAGTTTCACACGCTGCCCGAGAATCGGCACAACATCCCTTGCAAAATTGTCATCAAGGGCCATGAGTGTTTCGAAATCTACTTCTTGGGCTGGCAACAAACGAATCCACTTGGACCGATTAACAAATCACGAAGACTGGACTAAAACGGAGTCTAAGAGAGTTGTGAGGTGGGCGAGTAACAATTATACAGCAGGTCCAGAGCGATTCAGGATTTAGTCACAACGACAACAGCACATCAAAACACAGGACAGTTAACCTAAAATGGCTGTTCTGATGATACACTCGTCACATCGTATTAGATAACTCAAGGCGATAAAGTTACCGTATCGGTGGGAGATGAATGTAAATGCGAATTTGGGAAAGACACAAAAGTCTTGAAGTGTCAAAATGTACTCGAAGTTAACCAGGAAACATTCTTTACAAAAAGATTGGGCTAAGAGTGTCCTGTTCCCCTCGCAACTTACCTTGAAAAACTCCGATGTACTGTTGGAGCCCCCATTGCTGTAGAAGCGTTGAAACCTGCTCCATTTTCCAAACTTCTTGACAGACTGAAGTCAAAGATGAACGGTACAATGCACCGATTTCGACAAAGTTGCGAATTACAAAGGTTCAGCTCAGCCGGGGCCGGGCCAAACCGCCAGCCAGCAGCCAGGCCAGCCAAGCGGTTGGCGATGAGAGCGCTCGCCGCGCCGCAGCCACAACAAACAAACAAACAAACAAACAAAAGAAACAAGGAAAATTTGTGTATTTTCCTAGAGTTCCGTATCACAAACTTCAAACTAAGGTCAAAGGTGAAACCAGAGCTAGGGAAGGCTGTGGTCTACCATTGGTAGAGGTTGACGGTTGGATATAGTGGGTGCTTGGACAAGATAGCTGCAACAAGATTGTGTACTTGGTCTGTTTATACAAGTTCATTTCCTCTGCACATCCATTAACGACCATGTAATGTACTTTAAAATTTTGCAATTTTCTGACTGCTAGATATGAGTTTCTAAATATAGGTTAAACCCCTACCGCCCTATACCGGCAAATGGTCCCATATGCACCATGCGAGGTAATTTGGACCAAATTCTTGTAACTGCTCTTTGACACGCAGTGCAAATATAAACCAGTGTACTCCTTGGCCTCTATTGTGTTAAGGTGGACGCATTTAGAAATCAAAAGATGCCCCATGGCAGCCACAATAAGGTTGTCTGAATTACCTCGCCATGATTGCATCTCCTCATCGTAGTCCTCCTTTTTCGTAGTCTATTTTTGCACTCCACGATTACAATTAAAGTTTATATGATGAGTTTTTTACAATGATTCCTGGTGTGACTGAATCTTATCTAAGGTGTCTGCAGGGACATTGTTACTAATACATGTTTTTTTTTTTTAATTTTTTGAAAGCAACATGCCACTGCACCTACAATCCTTTCCTGGGCAGTTGCCTGGTAGTATTGTTTACCATGGAGGAGATGGATATTTTTATCACAAAGCATGAGAGTATAAGGGGTTGGAGAGGCAACGACGGGCGGGCCAGGGCCTGCAGGGCCAAATGTGCGGCTCATTTTCTCCTAAACGATTCCACCTATTTAAAATCCGAAAGCAGCATTGGATAGGGAAAGGTTGATTGTATGGCCGCGTAAAGTTGCAGCTCGATCCGTCACACCCTTCCGCCTGAACGCCGCGCTGTTCGCCGCGTCCCAGTCATTCGGCAGGGCTCGGGGCGGGTTCGGGACGCCTGCGCTACGTCGCAGAAAACGTTCCGATGACAATTTCCTCAAAACAGCAAAGTGGGTGTTTCTTATGATTGATATCGGCACAGAATGGCATAAGATGATTTTTAAGAATATTTTGGTACCTTTGGGGGTTATGTTGACTATGGTCGGAGCCTAGGCTAGCGGCAGTTGCTTCACGAATTAGTTGTTTTCGAAGGATTTGGAAAGGTAAGCACAAAATATTGAATTGGGACACTCGAAAAGTAAACTCAGGAATATTTTCCGCTAATGTTTGGTTTCAGTCATACTCAGATGCACAAAATAACACCAATGTATACGGGTGGCGTTAAACTCTTTGATGGCGAATATTGGCGGAAAATATTCCCGAGTTTACTTTTCGAGTGTCCCAATTCAATATTTTGTGCTTACCTTACAAATCCTTCGAAAACAACTAATTCGTGAAGCAGCTGCCGCTAGCCTAGGCTCCGACCATAGTCAACATAACCCCCAAAGGCACCACGTTTGTTATTGTTGTGAAATCGTATTTCAACGGTCGGTAAGGTGCCAAAATATTCTTATGCCATTCTGTGCCGATATCAATCATAAGAAACACCCACTTTGCTGTTTTGAGGAAATTGTCAGCGGAACGTTTTCTGCGACGTAGCGCAGGCGTCCCGAACCCGCCCCGAGCCCTGCCGAATGACTGGGACGCGGCGAACAGCGCGGCGTTCAGGCGGAAGGGTGTGACGGATCGAGCTGAAACTTTACGCGGCCATACATTCAACCTTCCCCTATCCGATGCTGCTTTCGGATTTTAAATAGGTGGAATCGTTTAGGAGAAAATGAGCCGCACATTTGGCCCTGCAGGCCCTAGCCCGCCCGTCGTTGCCTCTCCATCCCCTTCTACTCCATGCACAAAGTAAACAGTCGGCTAAACAGGAGGTTTACATATTTCCGATGTGTTCACCGTGACAAAAATCATGAACAATGTCCTGGTTCTGAAAAAGCCTTGTTGGAGCATGGTTTGGTGTTCAATATCCACAACCACTCCCACCCTAGCAATGTGCTGTACCCTGCAATGAAAGCCTTGAAGAGAGACATTATAGCTAGAGTGAAAAATGGTGATCAATCACCATTGCATGAAATTGTCCAACAAGAAGGGCAGAAGTCAGTACATCACTGAAGAAGTCTTTATTCAGGTAAATAACATAATGCTTTTACTTACCAGTTTTATGGTTTTGTCCTTAAGGTATCCTCCTGCTGTTCGGGCTCTAGTGCCCCTAGGATCAATCCAGTCTCGACTCAATACAATTCGTTCTACTCTTAGACCGCCTGTTCCACGGAACCTTGGTGTTCTAGGAGCATACCTTCTACTGCCTCAGTATGAGCACCTGACTCGTTGTGAACATGTACTTGACAGTAACTATGCTGGAATGTGTGGCAGATTGGCAGATAGAACATTGTCACTAGTTTTCATCACTCCAGAAATGATGACATTTATGCAGACAAGATCCACTGTATGTATTGAAAACATTGTGAATAATTAATTTGGTCCAAGTAAATAACTGCACACTTCTGTGATTCCTCTACTAGGTCTTTGGCGATGGTACAGAGCGGAATAAATTTCGGAAGCCTAAGGTCTCACAAATATTTCAGCTGGTACCAGTTTGGAGGTTCCACGTGAGTGCCTGTTTTATTCTTATCGTCTCTTCAACTTCTAGCAACTGATTTTTTTTTTTTGATTTTATTGTAATAAGCTGAATGTGTAGTGAACCTAGCGATTTGGAAATATTATCTTACACGAATAGATTCAAAGTACTGATTGATTGTACACTTTTGGAGTCATCAGTGATAAAGTTGTTGTAGTCTGTCCTGGCTTATGACTTGGTCAAG